ACAAAGCAAAATAAAAGGCAAACATATAATAGCACAAATATTAGTTTAAAAAATATACGTCATGTGATTGGGGGGGGGGGGGGTATATGTGTGTCACTGTGTGTGTGTGAGGATGTGTGAGTGCTTAGTTTAAGTAGGAAACTCGTCAGGGTTAAACCATACTTCTGTCCAAGTCATTTGAAAGTGGAGGGTAACCCCTAACCTCCCGATCCTCCTCTTTTCAAGCTTTTTATTTTTTACTTGAAAAAAAATCCCGACTCAAACTAAAGATTTTTACTCATACTGACATCCTCCTAACAGTATAATGCTAAGAATTGTAGATAGAGTGGAGAAGTTATTTCATTAGTCCGTAACACAACTTAAGAAATGTCTTAGGATAAATTTAAGATAAGATTGTTTCGTGAAACAGATGTGACAAATCTTAGGAACTTCCAAAGTTATAACTTAGGCATATCTTAAGTATGTCTTACAACATATCTTAGGAAACTTTTGTGAAACAGGCCCCAGGCTGGAGATTCAAATATCATGTAGATATTGTCTACAAAGAATTCAATATGTATGTTAAAAAGAAATGAGATAAATAAATTCGGAGCCTGTTATTTCAGGATGACACCAACGTCGACGTCGGAATGCATTTTTTGAAACTGATATTCCAAAACCACACACGGCCGTCTGGAACCGTTGAAAGGTAAATAAAATATCAGGAATAGGAGTAAAATATATGGTTAATTATCGTATACTGTTTTTAAAGCGGGGGAAAGCATAAAATACAAGAAATAATACCCGAAGCGAGCGACAAAAAAGCGGGGGCGTAAATCGAACGTTTTTACAACGCTTGGATCTGTAGCTCTCTGCTTTGTCTGTCCGAATTTTCTCAAGCAGAGAGCTACAGTTCTGCAGCTAAATAACTTCTATCTGTAGCTAACAATTTCTTGTAATAAAGATTAATTAATGAACTTCGTGAAATATATATAAGTGGTATACATGTGTTTAGAACGTTCCCTATAAAATGTTTGCCCTGGAATCTGCTCATTGTTAGCGAGAACAGACCAAATCTATGTACATGTACTTATGTTACATACAAAATAATTCGAAACTGTACTGGAAATTATTGAGAGATACATGTATATTTAAAGTTAAATCAACTACAGACATTTCCCCTCTACAGTATACTTCTATTAATGGTGATGCATCTATTGCTTTTTCAAATGAAGAGAAAATAGATGTTTTAAATGATTATTTTGCTTCTATTACTTGTATTGATGATAGCGATGTTGTGTTACCGGACTTTTTTTTTTTCTGCTTGCAATAGCACATTTGATCCGTCTGTATTTGTGAACAAGAAATCATAGATATTATTTCAATTCTCCCTGTAAAATTGAAATCCACAATGTATACTATTGTAAAACCGTTATGTTTATTGTTTAACAGGTCATTAGTTGATTGTATTTTTCCTTGTAAATGGAAAGTTGCTAATGTTCTCCCTTTATTTAAGAAAGATGACCCTTCTATTATGTCTAATTATAGACCTGTGTCATTGTTAAGTTGTATTGGTAAAGTAATGGAACGAATCATATTTAAACACTTGTATAATCACTTTCATGATAACAAACTTTTTTATAACTACCAAGCTGGATTTCTACCATGTCACTCCACTGTATATCAACTAATAGAAACATATGATACTATTGTTTAAGCTATTGACAACGGTGAACATTGTTGCATGATATTTTGTGATCTTTCTAAAGCTTTTTGATCGTGTATGGCATAAGGGTCTCTTGTTTAAACTCAGAACTTATGGTATAGAAGGAAATCTGTTTCAGTGGTTTAAGAGTTACATAGAGGGTAGATCACAACAAGTTTTATACAGAAACTTATTATCTGACAAAAAACCTTTATATGCGGGTGCCCCTCAAGGCTCAGTGTTAGGACCTCTATTATTTCTTATATATGTAAATGATGTTGCTGAAGAAATGACTAGTTTTTGCAGACTATTTGCAGATGGTAACTCCCTTCAGCAGTCATCTAAAAATGTCAATACTATCGAAAACAAACTGAATTATGATCTTAACAAGCTAGAAATTTGGTCGAAAAAATGGCTTCTAAAATTCAACTCTTCTAAAACTAAAGCAATATTTTTCAACTTGAGAGGAAGTGTTAATTATCCTAAACTCTCCTTCCAGCAAAGTCAGCTAGAATTTGTCTCTTCGCATAAACATTTAGGGATTTTTTTCTCACATGATCTTAGTTGGTCTACACATATTGATACTATTCTAACTAATGCGTATAAAAAATTGGGCTTATTGAAGAAACTTAAATTTGTAGTAAATCGGAAAACTCTTTCACTCATGTACACAACCTTTATTAGGCCACAATTAGAATATGCTTCCCTGGTGTGGGGTGGGTGTAATGTAGGTGATAGCGAAAAATTAGAAAAATTACAATTATGTGCTGCTAAAATTGTCACAGGCTTAACTCTGTTAGCTTCTGAAGATGCACTTTACTTTGAAACTGGATGGGAACCATTACATGAAAGAAGGAAAAATACTAGATTAACTACAATGTACAAAATCTATAATAATCAAGTTCCTGATTATCTGACTGATATAATCCCAAATTTGCGTTGTAATTCATCAAGTTACAGTACGAGAAATAACATACCCAAATGCAGATTACAAACCTATAAGTCAACTTTCATCCCCCTTGTTATTGATGAATGGAACTCATTACCTCTTGTTGTAAGAAATTCTTCCTCATTATCTATTTTTAAAAAGTCAATTTCTTATAATAAAACTATGCCACCCTCTTACTTCAGTTACGGAAATCGACGCTTAAATGTATTACATACAAGGCTTCGACACAACTGTGTACTTAATAGCGATCTTTTTCGATGTAATATAATTTTGAATCCCTTATGTTCCTGTGGAAGAGTGGAGGACACTCATCATTATTTCTTCTCGTGCAAAAAATATACAGAAGCCAGAAAAGAATTTTTCGATAAATTTCTGCCAATGGGAAAATTACATACTATCGATACTCATACATTACTCTGGGGAGATGAAACGTTAAACGATGCTGAAAATGAATACTTATTTTCTATTGTACAAACATTTATTAAAAAGTCAGGTCGTTTTGGTTGATGCAATAATTACTTCTTGTAGGGAGAGGGCGTATTTTAAAGTTTTAAGAACTTTTGCCCAATCCCAGTTGTAAAGTTTATAGAAAATAAAATATGTTCAAACTACAAAATACATATATAAAGTAATTCATTTCGTGACCAAGAATTTTTGACATGAATAAATAAAAAAAATATCATATCGTTTCTTATACCGGCCACCGTACATTAACGTTGGGGAATTTCATTCTTTTTATATTTTTCCATTTATTTATTTTTTGATAGCTTTTCAGCTATTGATTTTTACATGCTTACTTTAAACGTTAATGTCTTTGCAAAGGCAGGGGTTTTTCGGTAATTGGGAGTTCTTAATTGGAACTTTTCGACTGCAAAAAAATAAAATTAACTGTTTCTACATTTATTTTGATAAATCGTGTTACTAACTGAACGACCGTCGTAAGGAGAAAATCAATTCCCGAGTAAAATTTATCTATCTAAATGTGTAAAACGTGTAGATTTTTGCCTTTATATTCGAAAATAAAAGGCATTAATAATTTTACTTAATGCATGTACTTTTTTCTGCTTTCATGAAGAACACTGAGATATCGTGAAACTTAATACCTGCGTCCTTTATTCTGAGAGAGAGAGGGGGGGGGGAGAGATGGGGTGGAAATGAGCAGCATCGCACTATTTAGAAATAAAAAAAATCTGATACATGTATTCTCTGAAATTCGCCCTGAATGTTCATATCTTTATCTTTTTATTTATTTATTCTTTTGATAATATAAACTTATATTAATTGAATCCATCTATAAAATAAACATTTCATTTCCTGGACAAAGGTGCTGTGGCTCTGTATGCAAATTGAATTTTAGCGAGAAGGTAATTTTAGCGATTTTATGGTGCATAGAAAGATAAAAGTAACCTCCAAGGCGGAATGAATTGTCAACGATATTTAATTTTAGTGATCACAACACCCTTGCTAAAAATGCCAAAATTGACCCCTCACTGATCAAGATTTCTGCTTATCAGGTGTTCATGATTGATAATGTGTTCTGTAGTACTTAGTTGAACCCCCCCCCCCCCCCCCACCACCACCTCCTTGTTGCACGAGTATCAACTTTAATGCAATGATAGCTAGGCATGTTATGAATTAAGATTTTCAGTGACTGAACACCAATATCGCTAAAGTGTTTTCCGCCTAATGTTTTATTTATAGTTTGTTGGCGCTGTTTTTGAGTAAGTTCCGGTCTTCTTAATATGCATGACCCCAGTTTTTTTTATGCTTGAATCTGGAATGTTATAGGACAACGAAAGTGTGAAAACCATATTTCGTCTGAGAAATATCATGTGCTTTTTGAGTTATAGCATACTGCTAAATAATATATACAAATCGTTTTCTAAGAATTACTAAATAAGCAAACAATCTTTCCAAGTTTATTTCAAAAATGTGCACTTAATAAGTTCACAAAAGCACGGTATGTTTTTGAGTTGTAAGATCTTTGAGGGCTTAGGAAGAGTTTAAGGAACGAAACTTATAAGGATGTGTTTTAATTAGATTGGGGAAGAGTTATTAATAGGAAATACCTGATCCATGCATTCATGTTGAGCAAATCACGTCGGTAGTCGGCATACATAGCCAAGTACATGCCTATAGTCCAGACTGCTTCAATAATAACAAACATTCAACAAAATTCTTGTTTTGCAATAATGAAAGACGACGAAATTCTAGATCATTTATAAGACTTGTTTAAACCTATAATTTATACACCACAAACAATGGAGTAACCTTTAACCTACCATTCTTATATTGGTTTTGTTAAATCCCACAAACATCAATAGCTGACCGAAAGCCTTCCATAAAGAGATTAATTTGTAAACAATCTAAAAGCACCTCATTTATTCAACACAAAAAGTTCACAATAAAAAAAAAACATGTTTGGAACTTTACTATCAATCAAAAGTTTCCCTGGACAAACCCACTCAACTAATCTTGGTACATGTAGACACTGTATCTTAGTGACTTTTAGATAAGACTTGAACACAGGGATGTAAACATAACTAAACATATCTTACATTCACATTAAATAGTAGAAAAATAATCATTTTTAATTTACTAAAAATATTGTAAGAACCAAGAATTTATGAAAGACCCTCTTTTGCCCATAAATAAAGTAAAATAAAAAAGTTGATATATAAGGAATAGTTCATTTTTACAGAATCTTGTGCATTTGACAATTAGAACACAGCTTCCTGTCCAGCTCAGACGTGAGCTGACATTGTTCTGTCCACACTTTCTTGTTGTCTATGCGTGTCCAGTAGCACCTGCTGGTCACTAAAGAACTGTTTGGCCTGACCACACGTGTTGTTGACACATATTGGACATCTCAGCAGCAGCTGTTTAGAACAGGCTCGGTTGGACTCCAAGTGAGACTTCACAATATCTGCCTGTGCCTACATCAGATACAGTGAGAAATTAGGGAGACAGTATGGCCAGATTGAGAAATGTTCACAATTATTAAACAAGAGGCCCAGAGGCCACATAGCTCACCTGAGCACTGTGGCTAGGAAAAAAGAAAAATCAGTTTAGTATTGAAAAGCACATAAGTGGTCCCAACCTACCCTAAAAGGGAGTGGGGGGTATGATTTGAACAAAATTAAATCTACACTTAGGGATGCTTACATAATTTTTTGACTAATTGTGACATTTTTCTCTACAAGTTTGAACTTTCATTGTGGCCCCACCCTACTCCTGGAGGTCATAATTTGAACAAACTTGAATCTACACTATCTGAGGATGCTTCCATATATATATTACAAACAGTGGCTTTGCTGTTCTTGAGAAGATTTTTAAAGATTTTTCCTAAATATTCCTATGTAAAACTTTGATCATTCATTGTGGCCCCACCCTACCCCTGGGGGTCATGATATGAACAAAATTGAATCTACACCACCCGAGGATGCTTCCACATAAATATGACCAATCATAGCTTTGCTGTTCTTGAGAAGAAGATTTTTGAAGATTTTTCTTATACATGTATTTTCCTATGTTAAACTCTGATCGTCCATTGTGGCTCCACCCTACCCCTGGGGGTCATGATTTAAACAAACTTGAATCTACACCACCCGAGGATGCTTCCACATAAATATGACCAATCATAGTTTTGCTGTTCTTGAGAAGAAGATTTTTGAAGATTTTTCTTATATTTTCCTATGTAAAACTTTGATCGTCCATTGTGGCACCACCCTATCCCCGGGGGTAATGATTTGAACAAACTTGAACCCACACCACCTGAGGATGCTTCCACATAAATATTACCAATCATTGCTTTGCTGTTCTTGAGAAAAAGATTTTTGAAGATATTTCCTACATACACCTATGTTCTACTTTGATCGTCCACTGTGGCCTCACCCTACCCCTGGGGATCATGATTTGAACAAACTTGAATCTACACCACCTGAGGATGCTTCCATATAAATATGACCAATCATAGCTTTGCTGTTCTTGAGAAGAAGATTTTTGAAGATTTTTCCTATATATTCCAATGTAAAACTTTGATCGTCCATTGTGGCCCCACCCTACGCCCGGGGGTAATGATTTGAACAAACTTGAATCTACACTACCTGACAATAATTCCACATGAGTTTCATCTTTCCTGGCCTATTTGTTCTTGAGGAGAAGATTTTTGAATAATGCCATTAATTTTTTGTTATTTCGTAATTATCTCCCCTTGGAGGAGGGTGTGGCCCTTCATTTGAACAAACTTGAATCCCCTTCACCCAAGGATACTTTTTGCCAAGTTTGATTGAAATTGGCCCAGTAGTTCCAGAGAAGAAGATGAAAATGTGAAAAGTTTACGACAAAGCCATTAACAACGCCAACGACAGACAACGGACAAATTTCGATCAGAAAAGCTCACTTGAGCCTTCAGCTCATGTGAGCTAAAATGAAATATAGTCATCAAATTGGTATCTACATTAGAGATCATTAAAGTCAAGATAGAATAAAATGGTGGTGTTTGTAGTTAAAACATCTCTCTCTCTCTCTCTCTCTTATATATATATATTTACCCCACCTCTGTTGATTTTTCGATGAAATCCTGGCTTACGATTGGTTGAAGTCTGTCACGTGAAGGGGGTGTATTACTTATACCTAGTCGCTTGAAAATCAATACATGGTCGATACGGAGTTATCGTTTTTTTTGTAGCGTTCGAACAACTCGAGTTCAAGAGGTTTGCCGAGTGTCTTTTGACAATTTAACAGTTAACTAATGTAAGTAACGAGATTGAACCCTTTTCTCCCTTTACTGAAGTCTTCAAAACTGTCAGTACATTATTACAGCACGAAACACTTGCAAAACAACATTACGTAACACATGACGTCATAATAGGCATTGCATGAGTGATGATGAAACATATATATAGTGAGGAAAACAATTTTACAAACCATAGACAATATATAAATGTTTTATCGGTGGGGTAAATTCGTTACATAGTTTTGTAGTGACAGGGTACGGGATGATACCTGATTAGTAAATTCCATACCTGGCTCGGCTTCGCCTCGCCAGGTATGAAATTTACTAACCAGGTATCATCCCGCACCCTGTCACTACAAAACTATGTAACTAATAATATCTATATATATATATATACAAAGGTTGATCCAAAAGTAATGTTACAACTGCAATAAAATCTTTATCAAAAGTTTTCAACAAAACTTTATATATTAATACCTCAATCTATTTTGACCTTTGCCCTAAAAGTTTATTCAGAAATATCCAATGACTTAAAAAATATTAAAAGAAACATAACGTTGAGTCTTGTCTATTGCCGCATGGCTAGAATGTACCAACTTCATTATGACGTTTCTCTTAGACCCTCATTTTGAATTTGATACATAAGATTTATGCAAAAAGGAATGAAAACAGAAATAACATTTGGACAGAGTTCAAATAATCTTAATACTACAACTCAAAACAAAATGACTTATAGCAAAATGGCAGTAAAGTAGCATGTGAGGAGTTCAAAAGAAATGAACTGACAATGAATGCCAAAAAGTAGTGTCATAGAGATATCAGCAACACTCTTGCCGTGTGGCGATAGACAGAACCTAATGTTGAATCGAACAACAGACATCATCAATTTGGCTTATTCCAACCCGAATTTGACTAAATTGATTAGCAGCTTTTATTTATTCATACTTAGAATTACCTACCTTGATGAAAGTTAAGCTGCCATTCATAGCTGGGGCTCGTCTGATGTTGATGTTGTGCTGAAAAAGAAAACAACTTGAGATTACAGAATACCATATACATACATGTAATGAGAACCTCTTTCAGAAATCAATGCAAGTTAAGTTTAAGGTTAAGGAATATTTTATTTAGAATTAGGAAAAACAAAGACTTTGCTGTAAATCATTTGAATATCATGAGTTTCTCAAGCTTTGATCACTGAAGCTGAGGCTGGATAACATGATTTAACAACGATTCAAAAGTTATGGCCAAGGTTACAGTTTTTCAAAAGAAGGTCAAACTCCAAGGATAATGTCAAAGGGGCAAAATTTTTGGCACCCAAGGGAAGGTCTTGTCAAAAGAAATACACCTGAAAAACATGAAAGGCCTAGAACCAACTGTTCAAAAGGTATGGCCAAGGTTAAAGTTTTTCAAAAATACATGTAGGTCAAACTTCAAGGTCAAGCTTTAATGGTCAAAATTGTTGGTACCCAAAGAAGTTCTTGTCACAAGAAATATACATGTGTAATATGAAAGCCCTAGATCAAAACATCTGGCCAAGGTTAAAGTTTTTTAAAAGTAGGTCAAACTCCAAGGTCAAGGTAAAAAGGTAAAAAATCTTTGTACCCAAGGAAAGGGAATACACCTGTGAAGTATGAAAGCCCTAGCACTAACCGTTCAAAAGTTATTGCCGAGGTTAGAGTGTGGAAAATTTTGCAAAAGTGGGTCAAACTCTAATGTCAAGGTCAAGAGGTCAAATGTGTTGGTATCCAAATAAGGACTACACATGTGAAATATGAAAGCCATAGCTCCAACCAATCAAAAGTTAAGGCAAGGTTAAAGTTTTAGTGGATAAACAGACAGGCAGATGGACAGACAGAGCAAAAACTATATGCCCCAGAATCTTCAATTACAGGGGCATAAAACAATCGAATACTAACATCATCATTAACATTTAGATGGTTATCATAGGTTAATCATTTTTTTGAGGTTCAAAAAGTTTTATACTATTGCATAAATTTCTTTTATTGAATTCAGTAAGGGAGATATATTATACAATTCAACTAAGTTTAGTTCTAGGTCTGTTTAAATTAAAACATATACTGTGCAACAGTTATCGTAAAGAAAATGACCTAGCAGGAAGGATAACTCTTGGTAGAATTTAGCCTTTACAAGAAAATAAAGTGGCAGGAAACTTGGCAAAAAAAAATGATACTGAACATAATGTCTCATAATCGGATATATGTACTATTATAGTACAATAAAACGTGTAAAGTTTTCCCAAATAATGTTTTCATGATTATCATCATTTTCATCAGTGCGATTGAATCAACTGATTAGCATGTTCAAAAATCCTTTAATTATAGTTTTTTTTTTCCATTTGAACACACTACAGACAGATGTATGCAAGATCCTGTTTCATCACTAGAAATGCTCACTTGAGCTTATAGATAAGTGACTTTGACAATGACAGTTTGAAAAATATGGCAATAAAGCAATATTAAAAAACACATGAGAGACTCCATCCTCAACTTCCAAGTTATATTTTACTACACTGAACAGCATTTTTTTAAGTAAAGCTCTAATTTAATTCTAATAGTCATCAAATATTGGATTTTCTGCAAAAACTGGACAGCAGGAATTGGCATATCACTAGAAAGATCCATTGCTTTTAGGTGAATTTTCATGAACTATTGCCAAGTAACTAAGGGCCCCTATATGATTTCAACATCTCAATGTCATGTGATCATGATTTTTTTGTGAAATTTATACAAGACAATGTCAAACTTTTAGATCAAAATACCCAAGTTGACTTTATTACAACCATGGGTTACAAAGATATGACCTGGAAATACCATGTGACAAAATTGACCGAACAAAAAGAAATTGCAAAAAAATGTATCAACTTATTAGGGAGCGGGATTGGGGGGGGGGGGGGGATAGTGTATTTAACCTTCTCTCCTAGTTCCTCAGCATATTCCAGATCCAATTCAAAGAGAGTTTCAATATGGTCACTAGTGAAGGCAATGGGGACTAATAAGATGTTCTTCTTCCCTTTGGCAGCAAGTCCTTCTATAGCGGAATCTGTCGCAGGCCCTAGCCATGGAAGAGGTCCAACCTTAAAAAAAAAATCAATCATCACAAAATTTAAAACACACAGGATTTAGACAATACATGATCATTTTAATTTCTATTCATAAACTCAGAAAATAAAATGGTCATGGTTGAGTTGATAACAGTAACTAATTAGTACTAACTAATTAATAAGATTTTTCTTGCGACACCACTAAATAGACAAGAGACTGAACTACGTTAGAAACCGGTCTGGACTAGATAAGATTGGACTAGATAGATTACACTGGTCTAAGCTAGACTGGACAAAACTTCACTGGACCAGACCAGACTAGACCATACTAGACTAAACTTAACCAGATTGGACTAGCTAACTAGACTGAACTAGACCAGACTTGTCTACACTAGTGTTGACTGCACTAGACTAGACCACAATGGACTAGACTGGAATACACTAGATTGAACTGCATTTGTCTAGACTGTACTAGTCTAGACTAGACAGGACTACACTAAACTAGACTAGACCAGACCAAATTGGACCAGACTGAACTGGACTAGACTGTACTAGACTAGACTAAACTAGACTGTCATACACTAGACAATACTTTACTAGACTGTACATCAAACTGGACTTTTGAGGAATACAAACCAATGAGAATTTAGGTCACCAATTGAGAGACGCTAATTATGCACAGTCAAGAATGCCACGCCTAAATGAAAGTCCAAGGTTAACAGAGATTTGTACCAAGATGCATTAATTTACCAAGTTTGATGATTCTAGGTCTAATAGTTTTCTAGTTATGAACCGGACAGGATTTTTCCATATTTGACCATAGCTTCTTAATTAAAGGTCATAGCGACCTATTTTTAATGTGCAGCACACCTTCTACCAAAGATGTATCAGCTGACAAAGTTTGATAATTCAAGGCCTAATAGTATTAAAGTTATGAGCCAGACAAAGCTAACAGACAGACGGATGGACGAACAGACTGACGGACATGAACAGCATAACATAATATGTCCTGTCTTACAAAGGGCGTTTAAAAAACTCAGAGAACGAAACGTTCATGTTTGTGTTTGGCATTAGATTTTAATAAAATTGATTGATTGATTGACTGACTGAGTTAGTTATTTAGCTAGTCTAGCCTAGCCTAGTCTAAGTCAAGTAAGTAATGTCACCCAAGGACATCTTGTAAGCAAGTTAGTGTTGTCAAACATGAACATCTTGTTTTCTGAGGTTTTTAAATAGCCTTTGTAAGACAGGATGTATTATGTCATGGTGTTCATGTCCGTTAGTCTGTCTGTCCATCTGTCTGTCTGGTTCATTTAAGGTAATTATAGACAAACATGATTTTCAATCTCCTTTGTAAGTGAAAATGTACTCTTAAAAACTTTATAGAACATTCAGCATTCTGGTATTTTTGTCAAATCTTTGAAATTTTTACCTTAGACTGCCAAACCAGGCGGTACTGGTTGCTGTAATTCAGAGCTTCCATTACTCTGTTAACTGTAGCTCCTACTTCTGCTGGGTAAGGATCACCTCTGTTCACAACCTGTACATTCAAGTTTACATCAACATCAAAATAAGTTTCTTGACCAGGGTTCTCCATGGGCCATTTAATGTGGCATAGTTCCGGCACAGTAAAATATTAGCATCACAGTAAGATCAGTATTCAGTAACATATATGTATGCATTTATTAAACTCAAAATGAAACTCTAATTTATGCATTATTTTTCAGTTTTTAATGCAAAAGCATACTGGAAAATTTACTCTAATTAGGGACCATTGTTTCGCTTGCACAAGCAATCATGTTCTAGATCCCTGCTGAACTTTATGCATGCACTGATGAAAAAAGGGAATCAATTTGTTTTCACACTTCCCAATAATTGCAAATTGAAATTTTAAAACAAATTAATTACTTAGCTTTACTGTAGATAACCATGTCTCTAAAATTGCATTGCCACTGTGAGCCAAACATCCTACATGTATCGTAAATCTGGTATTGATGTAATGTTAAAGACGTACAACACAGTGGGGGAGATTAAACGTTTTACGTGACATCAAATTTGATGTTAACAATAAAGCGTCAAAATGACGAGTGAAACAATCCTGATGTATTTTAAAGTAGAAACAGAAAAATGGGATTAGGGGCTTGATTGTTATTTCTTTATGAGTACCAAATTCTATCATTTTTTTTTTTTTTGTATTTACACCCCCCTTACCCTCTATGAAAAGGAAGAAACGAAATTTCTTTAATTTCATAATATGTAAATCGTATCCATGATCGTATCTCCTAAATGTCAATTGAACTATAGACTTCATGATTGTGTGTGATCGCCAGTCAACAGCTCCAATTATAATACAAGTGACACATGTTTATATCATGTGTATTCATGGCATTTAACATCCATAACTGCCATGTTTTACATCTAGTGTAAATTTTAACAACATATGAATGGGTAAATTCTAGAGGATCTCCGACAGAGTATTCAATGTAGTGGTCAACTGCATCAAAAAAAGGCACTCTGCTGCGATTCATTAACAGTGGTAAAACAAACATCTGAGTATACGATTTTTGTTAAGTGGAAAAGCACCTGTCCGCTGGCTGCTACCACTTATCAAATAACTTGCCCGCCAAACAAATTTGGTTGTCTCGGGCATCAGGCAATGCTATTTGTCTAGCCCTGTATTATTTTCAGGTTCTATAAACTTATATTATTTGTTTATATTTGTTAATATGTATGTATTTTTGGAAAGAGGAGAGGGGGTTCACAGTACATGTACATGTATTCTGATTTTTCATTAACACTATGTATACATACTCAATATCCATGAATTGTTTTATTAAATTCATTCTTCAATCTGCCATATAATTAATGCCCTTTGTATATTTAATTATAGTTATTCAGAAATGTTGGGTTTTAAAAAAATTATTTAGTGGTTTCTTCACGAATTTGGTTGTGAAAGACTGCGAATATTAGCACTTGTGCCACAGTCAAATTTAAAATGATGGAGAACCCTGCTTGTCATTCTTCATAAGGTAGTGTAAGCTTCAAAAGATAAATAACATCATACTAGATCCCATGCTCACCTTAAGAGGGAGAGAGTGGGCGGAAAACAGGATTACAACATCATCCTGATCTTTGTCTGGAAATTTGGCAAGTTCACTCTGAATGCTTTCTACAAAAGCCTGCAATAAATGAAATATGGTTAATGCAACATATACATATAACCATTAGATCTCACCTTTGTATGAAGGTGTGAAAAACACATGGATCAAGGATGTAAACCAACAAGAACAAGAAAAAGATTTTTAAAAGATATTTCCTATAAAATCCCCGATCTCGGATCATGATTTAAACAAACTTGAATCTACACTACTTGAGAATGGTTATCTATTAATATTTGCTGTGCTTTTTAAAGATATTTTCATTATTTTCCCTTGTATATACATTTGTGGTATCTCTCTATTATATAAACATACAGAGAGCAAATATCTTTATACCTGTATGAAGTTTTTCGAAGGTCATAGGTCATTACGTAACCTAATCACACAGCGCAGTAATATGTACATAAAAAGACTTACTCTACTTAGCACTATAGCATGTCTTTCATGCATTAAAATGAACAAAATACCCAAGTAAAATAATAATCATTTTATTTACAATGTAAACGAGTAATTAATACAGTTCTTGATCGATTTTACATAGAGAATAGAAAACTACGTGTTATAAATTTCATGTCTGAGCTGCATAGTCTCAACGTTTACCCTTATTTTTTTTGTAGACTTCTGAATGCTTTTTTTTTCATTTAACTTTACTCACAATAAATTTGAAAATCTGTTGGAAAATAGCAATGTAATGCAATCATGCCACAACAGCTGACAAACACTGCACTTTGGAAGTTCGGTAGGCACACCTCCATCATCAAGATCATTGTCTTAACAATGTAAGCTGTTGCCTGTGTCTCCGTGTTAACATCATAATAAATATGCCTTATTGAAATCGTAGATTTTATGTTTCTGATCAAATTTCATACTTGATTTCAAGTTAACTGGTCTGGGCTCCATCCATCCCTTTCCGACCGAAATTCCTCCAACTTTTTATTATCAAACATCTGACATGTTTCTTGTGTTTTTTAAACATCGAATATGGGTTCTCATGAATACAAAAATTCCCACACACCAATATGCTCACTATAATTGATCACAAGTAGCCTTTCACAGAATATTCCCTTCGAAACAGAATCCTTTGCCAGATGAATTTGAAGCATAACCGCTTTTCAAGCCGATTTACACCTTGCGTAATTTGTCAAAATTTACGACGAACAATTAGTGCAATATTTATATTCGATTATATTTGATTGTCCGTCTCAAATGTATATATAACAGACCTGTTTACCCATATTGTTGTCTCTCAGTATCTTTTATTATATTTGTTAGTGAGATTCGGCATTTCCCCGTAAGATTTCACTTTCCATCGATTTTACATATTACTAGAGAACAAGTACATGTGCATTCTGATTACTAAAACATGGTTTAATAACAAAGAAAAACATCATAACTTGCCTTCTTTCGAGGGGTTTCTGTCATTTTTTAAACCACCACGTTTTGACAACCTGACACCACTTAAGTGATTGAAATCCATCTCATTTTTTAGCGGTTAAAAAGTGTCAAACTGAGAAAGATCATACCGAAAATCAACAGCTAAAATCCAAACGAACTGATTTCCAATTTCCGTATTTTTATAATAGCAAAACGTGAGACGTTTTTTGGACTCAAAATCCGTACAAAATCCGTACAAAATACAAAAATCGTAAGAGTAAACAGGTCTGATATAAGTAATAAATAACAAGTTTAAAAACTTCACTGGGAAAAGAAGTGGATTGGTACGTGATCAAATCTTCTGAGAAGGCCTTTGGCTTCACAGAATTTGATCACGTGACCAACCCACTTCATTTCCCAAAGAAGTTTTTAAACTTGTTATTTATCACTTATAACAGACCTGTTATTTATTTCATAATTGTGATTTAAACTATAGTAACTGTTACATATCAAATTTTAAATTTATAATTGATAAATAAAATGGAAATTACTTTCAGTGCTATAAATGCTTGAACAGCAAATGATGTGAACAACCTTTAAGTTAATTTTTCTTTATATATTGATGCGGATTGAAGTGGTAAAATTTTTTGTTTGAATTGAGCATTTTGGTCTTTTTCATCCAATATCAATTGTTACATAAAGACACACCCATTTTCTTAGAAACGAGAAAGCAATATTTGTCACTATGTTTTAAGACATCCCACTCTCTGAGACCAGCAATGGGAGTTTTGCTTATATGGGGATTTTATAAAGTTAGGAGAGACTTGGAGACTCCCTGAATCTGTAAAACTCACATACATGTATTGCAACAAACATGTTCATAATTAGGAACTTTACATGCTTATTGAAATTATCACATGCATCAGTTGAACACATGTTTACTTGGTGTTTATTTAAACTGCCAATCTAATTGGCTATTGTATTTATCAAATACCTGATTTACTGGTATTCAAATGAAGCATGTGACGGCTTTTCCTTACCGAAGAAATAGGCGTGTCATTATGTAAGCTGAAAACATTCCTTTCCAACATAAAATTTTACCACACCAATGCACATCATTGTATAATGAAAGAATTGCAAGACTAAAAGAATCAGGATTTAAAGCAAATGAATGGATTTAGTTCTGATATCTGAAAAGCTGTTTTTGAGATATAACAACTCTGACCTGAATCAGGCCAGGGTGTGTGGGCCAGCGGTCGATACAGCTCCACAGTATGCTGGAGGGTTGTGCTCGCTTGGCGTAATGTCTGTAGAAAGCATTGATACTGCTCCCAGTTGTAGAACAGCTGTACTGAGGGTACTGAGTGAAGGCCACGCCCCTCTCTATACCATCACTGTAAAAGATTATATAAACTAATTAAGGGAGCCAACTGGGGTTTTATTGTGTGAAAACTTCTATCAGTCAGGGGTGAGACTGAAATCCGTCATTTTTGAAAAATGATGGATAATCGTCATATTCACTAAGTACGTATTTTCGTCATTTTTGTCAATATGACTTACTATCGTCATATTTTCTTTTTCAACTTAATTCTTCTATCCTGGTTACATAAAAGCGAAATTTGAATTCACCGCTGAAAGAAGAGTGTTTACGCAAGTTTCATTTCATCCAGGTCACTAATTACTGCCGACCACGTGCGTTAGAACATCAACATGGAAGGTGAAAGTTATTATTTAGCGGTAAAATGTCGAATTTTGGTAGAACTAATTCGCCATTTTTACATGGCTTTTAGCCCTATAAAAGCATATAGTACACCGTCTGGAAGAATACGTACTTGTAGAGAAAAGTCTCGACAAAAAGTTAAAGCCATAAAAAAGTAGTGCGCCCTGTAAAACAAGCGAGATATTTCAGTGCGCTCAAACCCTCCATTTTGAAAAAAGACGGAATATCGTCATTTTCGTCTTCTTCCTATTTAATGCAAATAAATTGACAAATAACTCTTCCACTCTTATTTTTGCTTGGGAAATTTATACTGTCAACATAACCAGTATTGTAGTCAACTGTATTAGAGAAATGAAGTTCGTTTACAATGTTTTTTGTCCTTTTTTCGGTTGGTGGATCTAACATTTTTCAAAGAGAGGTAACTTGGTTTTCTAGAAACACTCTAAATTTTTATGACTGTTTTTCGTCATTTTCTTAAAAATGACGAGTTTAAGTCATAATAAAAATTTTATTTTATGGCTTAAAATCGTCATTTTAAAATGACGGATTTCAGTCTCACCCCTGACTGTCCATAGAGAAACTCTTTAATTTTATACCATATATACCTTACACTGACTTCAGTATACATGCCAAGTTTAGTGAAAATCTACCGTCTGGTTATTTTTGAGGAACCGTCTCAAAATACAGGTACATTTACTATGGGATTATATAGGAAAATACCATTTTTTCGCACTTCGGAGCAAATTATACAAATACTACTATAGACTTTTTGCTCAAATTTTATTATTTGATGAGTAATACTATATTGTACATTTTGTGCAAGAAACACAAAATTCTACCGTCTGGTTTCCAGAGGGGGCATCTCAAAATTTCAAAATCCATGATATTTTCTGGTTTTTATGGAGTACAACAAAACATGACAGATACCATGGATTTACTTAAAAAATAATAACAATGAATGCTAGATTCTCAATTTCCTATGTTTAAAATTTCAAGAGCATATATTTTATACTTTTTATTCTATGGCATAATTAATGACCCAGCTTAAAGAACTTCGGTTATTCATAACGTCAAAAACACACTACTACGACGTCTTTCTACCCATCATTTGAAAAATCGTTAAAAAAATCAGTTATTTAAAAACATAATTAGATTTTTTAACCTCATATTTCCTAAATTTGTTATTTTTTTTTTTTTATAAATTATGTAAAAATAGTTGCTTTAAAAGAGTAAATACGCTTTGTTTTACTATGCTGCGTGAAGTATTGCGCAATGAAAACCCCAGTCGGCCCCCTTAAGGATGGACTCTTCTCATTTATTGAATTCAAAAATTAATGAAAAGACAATATCACTATGTGATGGTATCCGCTAAATCTTCATTTGACTGTCTTATTTTAGGAGCAAGGTCATGTCAAGGTCATTAACTTTATTCTTGACATTAAGAACCAAAGCTTACTGTTGCCAATCATATAATGCCTACTTCTATTTCAAAAGATTAAATGTTTTTCTTTTGGTATAAAATGATGAAACCATAAAAGCTCTCTCCGATCTTGGATGATACAAATGAAACTACAATAGATATTGGCTAACCTAAATTTCCTGTATTTTCTGAATTTTAAGGGAATACTTATTTTTCTATGCTTCGTACATTCATATGGTGAAGCAGTCATACAACAGGGAATTATTTAATCTTAGACTAATTATAAATCCTGGATTTTCAGAAAATTCTGAAATCAGGTGTAGTGCCCGAAAACTAACTTAGTTTTGCTTGAAATTATCAGTTTTCACTGTAGTAGATACTGTCTAAATGGGTAAGTGTGTATATAAGAAGCTAATATAATTGAATTATTGTTTATTTTTATTCATTCATGTTTTTATTGTGTTCCAATTTCATATTTTTATTGTTTATTTTCAGTCATAATTATTATTTCTAGGGTAAATGTCTTTTATGCAGTGTATCTGGTGTTCTACTGTTGTAGCTGTAGAAAATAATGACGCATGCGCAGATGGGGGTTAGTCGATGCCTGGCATCAAAAAACGACTAACCCCCATTTGCGCATGCGTCATTATTTTCTCGCTAAATTCTGCAGTTTTCTGCAATCAAACGGCGATATTAAAATAATCCATCGAATTTCCGTCATTAAATTATGCTACGACTCCACTGTTATCGCAAAACGTTCCTTCCGAGTTGTAGATATCCGTTAAACATTGCCAACAACGCACGGCTTCATAGTCCCCATGAATGAAGACCCGACTGAAGAAATGACTCGCAGCAAACAAAAATACATACCGATGCGTATTCCGCACGACAACTGCAAACACTTACATATGTTTTCACAACCGTAACAACTTTTAAATCCAACGAAATGGTCAGAAAACCGCAGCGATGTAAACACTACCAAATTTACAGCAGCTTCCTTATGCAGACAACCACTCCTCGACGTCACAGTCGTAAAATACGACGTCACAGGTACACTCTTTTCCCGAACTTTTCTAATGCAAAATGGCGATTAAGCATTGTACGTAATATAAGGTATACTGTCTTTATTGTTCAGCACACGTACTTTTAATTGTTTGTAAAAAGTTCTCCTTTAACCAGGTAATTGAATATCACAAGAGGAAAGGAAACTGGAATGTCTTCAGTACAGAAATCGGTCTTTGAAATTTGAAGATCCATGATCCGCCCACTTGTTTCACCTCCAGCTAAGAGGTGCATATTTAGTGTGCAAATCGAGAGTTTTAAAGCCATTGTGACGTCACCCTCAATAATTTGTAACAGATCAGTGAAATCTTACACATGAATCAATAAAAAATAATAATAAATTATTTAATATAGTTAAACTGTGGAAAACGTTAGTTTGAATTCTTGTGTACCATAAACAAATTCCCAAGCCTTTGTGACATTACTCCTAAACTTGCAATGACGGGGAACAGAGAAAAATACTGCGTCATAAATATAATAATAATAGTATTTGAATACACCAGTCAGATTAAACCACCCCGTGTCCTCTTTTCTTGTACTTTACAAACGTTTTTTTTTTTTAGACAGAATACCCCCCCCCCCCTTGGCGAAAAACGGATCGAGTACTCAGTTCAAATATTTTAATTTTTATTATTTTCATCATCAATATATATATATATTTGTATTGGCTCAAAAAAAGAATTGAACAAGTTAAATTGATGCAAAGCATCAAATAGACCTCAAAAATATATAAAGCAAAAATCTTAAGTATTTCCAAAAGAAAGAGCACCCCCCCCCCCTTCCAAAAAAATGCATTTATGGCAGAATCTAGGAGAGGTGGATCTAAGAAAAAAAAAATTTCTTCAGTGGCATGTCTGATGCACCTTGGAATTTAGTGTTTTTTTTATTTTTTATTATAGCCTTAAAATATTTCTGAATCTAGGGAGAATCCACAGTGTGCAAGTCTTTCTAAGACACTGTGAGTTACCCCAATACCCTGCATATTTCACTTACCCATTGAGAAGAAGGTAAACATGGCCTATTTACACCCTTCATACGTTCAAAGGCAACATTTCTCAATATTTGAAATTTTAATTCTTTTCCCCAGACACTCTCCTTCCTATCTATGCCCTAAAATCTGTCCATCCCACTCCGTGCGAATCCTAAGACATATTTACGGGGAAAACCCTGCGCTTTGCGTGGTCAATGAAATGGGGTAAATTAGTAACCTGTGGCATACTTATACTTTCTAAAATCAAATTAAGGGTTACATACAAATTCCAACATTTATTTAAATTTCATTTTTATTTAACTTTGTTTATTGTTTACTCTTTTATTTTCTATAATTATATGTTTCATTTTAAATGTATTATTATTATTATTATTATTGAGCACATAAAATATTGAAATTATGCCACCACCACCACCCCCACCCCCGAAAAAAAATTAAAGGCGTCATATTATTCTTTAAAAATAAAATTTAAAGCTTTAATCTTATATCTGTAAAAGTTTTGGATCCTTCCCTCAACACTGTTGACATCATTTGTCTCGGATAACATAAAGATAAGCGTAAGCCAGCGTTAATTGCGCTTTGATTGAATTCAGTCTACATGCAGCTACACCAGAGAAAATCCACAGAATTTCTTCCCATGTAGAAAAGTGCATCTTTATGATAGACTTTTACACTGTTTGACTTTTCTGTGTGTGTTTTATCCCCTCGCAACGGAGTTGCGTGTTTGTTTGTGGGTGAGTGAGATAATTCTGTGCGAAACGGAAGTGACGTAATTTGCATCGGAATCGATGTCGGATGCTGCCTTAGCTTATGGATAATAAATTGCGCAGCTCGATCACTATATAAAAGTATGCTGCTAATCTATTATTATTATCATTTTCTTTAGCCTCATGTGGTTTTCTACCTTCTCAATATTTTTGTCCCCGTTTCAGACAATTGTGGATATGTTACAAATCTTGCATTTTCACGAGTATCTTATTTGTGGTATTATAATCTTCCATTTATACCTACATGTTAAATATAACATGGTTAATATTCTACCATATTACGATATTTTAATATTATTTAATTAAATGTAATCTTATTGTAATAATTGTATTTGCCCTCTGAGGGCCCTTGATTGGTGAATAAACATACTATTATATATCATATTTCAACAACATGGGAATGGAAAGGGGCTGTAAGCCTTTGAATGAAATTG